AAATATATAATAATCAAAATAATCGAATCAAAAGGACTTTCAGTAACTGTATCTTTATGTACTATTTATAATTTGTTTACAAACCGTTAGTTGGATGTAATAGTACTTACTTTTTTCTCTAATAAATAACAAAATTTTTCCATTTAATTACATTCAATTTTATGTCCTGGTTTCTGGAGATTGTGGGAGAAGTTACTATAATCAACCTTTGTCACCTGTACTGATAATAATGATCATAAATAAATAAATCATTACTTTTAGAACCACAATTCGTGTTTTTGAGAGCTTTAAGAGCTTTGATGTATCCTTGTATGCAATAAACATTTTCTTTTGTGTTTGTATCGAAATTTTGAGAATTTATTAGACACTTGTACTGTAATTTGTCGACATGCGTGAGCTACCTGCTTTAAAAAAACAATAATTCGTAAAAATTAACAAATTTTTAATTCCAGATGATGTAATTAATTTGACGATAAACAATAATTTTGATGCATTCCTTAAAGAACTTTTACCAGTAATAGAAAAGTCATTGTCAGCAGTGTTTTTAGACATTTCCAATAAGATTGTTAACAAGTTTACCTTTGATCAACTATTTCCAATGTAAATATGTACATATATTGTTGTTATTTTTGTACTGAAAAAAGAATCGAGATGTGATTATATTAAATGGTTTTTTAATTTACAATATGATTCCCCACAAAATCAACTTTTTAAATTTATTATTCACAACAGTTGATGGTATTTTGTAAGATCAACGATTTAACTTAATGCTTTGAATTAATTAAAAAGTTTTATTTTTAAAAGGTAACTAGGTGCATTAACAGGAAACTAAATAAAATATGTAACACAACAAAATAATAACAGGAGACTCAATAAAATATGTAACAAAACAAAAAAATAACAGGAAGTTATTCTATAAAAAATACAAAAAATTAGAAAATCATAAAGCCATTTTATCACACCTTGTTGTTTTTCCTTTCAAATTATTTTTTTTTTGTTTGAATGTGTCTCATGTACGTACAATTATTTTTCTGGGAAAACTTCGTCGTATTTGAAATTTCTGACAATGTTGTTTGCCGTGTCTAGCAAAATTTCTGATACCTTTTCTTCTAAAAATGGTATGGCATGCTTTATCAGTTCCTCTTTGTTATCATTCAGAATTGAATTCGCCGCTTGGCCTGCAACAAAAAATTATTGTAATTTTTTTTTTTAATAGTAGACGGAACTATTTATTTGGTTGGATGTCAAAAATGAAAGCACTGGTGTGGTAGATAATACACAATTATACCAAAATAATCCACTGATGAAATTCAATTCAGTTAATTGTACGCTTTTTGGATTGAATTACGTCTATAACATTTATAGTGTAAAATACTAATCTTACCTAAAGTTGGATCCCCTTGGAATAGATTTTCCAGTTTAACATTGTAATCTCCTACATTAAGATTAACATTCAATGTAGTAAATTTAATATATCGTCCATCAGCTCTTTCTTCAATTTCATACTTTCCGATAGCTTTTCCGGTAATGGCAGCTGTAATTTAAAACATATTTATTTAATTCATATATAAATGTTCGTTTTATATATAAAAAAAAGAGAATATATCTTAAATTGAATATTCATCCTTTGTACTATCTTCCCCAATGTTGAATCAGAATACACAAAACCCCTTATAAGCTTTATTTGTATGCTTGTCCTTTAATCACATCGAAAAGACCTAATCATGCATTCAAATAGTCGAAAGAGGTGAAAATCAGTTGGTGTGAGGTCTGGACTATACAGTAGGTGCTCGAAAATGTCCTACTTGAATTGTTTGAGAAGACTTAGGGCATGTTTAAAAAGTACGATTAAACCTCGTACGGAGTGATTTTCATTTCCTTCGACTATCGACCAGGGAAGCTGTCAATACACACCTGATCCCAACAGCAGCAAATTTTATGAGCATCGGAAAGATAGTGTCATTATTATGGCAATTTTCCTTATCGACTCTACTCATCTTTTAGCAATCATATCATTTTGTTATGTCTTTGTATCTCTGTCTTTGCTAGCCGGAGTTTGAGAAAAAATAGCCCTAATAATCGAAAAAGAATTATAAGGCGTCAAATGAACTAGGTATGCGAAAATGTCATGTGATCTATTACTTAAAAAGTCTTATTNGATAAACCCGAATAAGACAACCATGATTTCTTGTAAGGGTGACGACAGTCAGTAATGATAAGGGGCGCGTACTTGATTACAAATTCTTTTGAGGTGTCACAAATCCGGCAGTTCAAATTTAATAAAAATATTTTGTTGAAAGTGATAAAAATTAAGATCGAGAGCAAAAGCTCGTTGACAAATAAATTCTGATTGATGAAATATTAAGCTTAACAGTTTAACTAATACTTATAAAACCGGTCCTTTTTACGATTAGTTACAAATTATAATCTGTTACGCAAAATCACAATTATAAGAATTAAATTTTTTTCACTGGCGATGTTTTAAAAACGAATGAATCTATTACTTAATATACCGAATGCGAAAAAGCTGATCTTTCCATTGAAAAATAATAAGGCGCTATCGCCAACAGCAGAAGAAGTCGCATGCACACCGGCTGGTTTTTGAGTGTCATGCCAAGGCGCACACGTATGAAGCGGCTATTCCTAGTGTATACACTTTCAAATTTCTTATGCCTGGGTTTATTTTTTCGCAACCGCTATATAAAATATATAATGTAATGACTGTAATCGGTTTGTGGTCTGTGGCTTTTGATGTTTTATTTTTGTCAATAATTTAAAAATTAAGTACGACGGAAAATTACTTACTTGCGTTTGCATGAACTTTTCCTTCGCCTTTAACAGGGACTACTAGTATTCGTGCATCAACATCATAATCGGCAATTAGCATTAAAACTGGTATTTCTACAACGGCACTTATCGTTCTTTCTGGTACGTCAACTCTAAAAAACATTTACGTATCACAAGATTAATTACTAGCATCACACCCACTCATCACAATTCTCGGTATAATGAAATAATAAAAAAAAAATAATTAGCCTCGGACGCAACATTAGAAGNCAAAAAGGTTCTTCATGTCTCCATCTAATGTAATACAATAACTTAGTAATCTACCTTGATAAAGCCTTCGACCAAAAAGGCGAAATGTTGGTTGGAGATAATAGATTAAATAAATAACATAGCTTTTAATTGACACAATTTTAAATTGAGTATTCAGTTTTAACACGTATGTATTTTTTAACTGATAACGCAGTGTTGAAATCACTAACGAGATGAAGTTTATTTGTTTCGTTGTTTGTGATACTGTTTGGAACTGTGTTGGAATTTTAAAATTTTTTTAAAGGTTTTAATATATAGGTATCATCACATTGTGACACAGAGCTCATAAATCACACAGCTCAAAAAAGAATGCGAAAAAAAAATTCCGGAAATAATTGGGAATGATCCAGGATCTGTTTAAATAAATATACGTACTTGCTAGTAAGTTCGTTATAATATCGTATCTATATTAGGAACTTTTTAGTAACTAGTAGTAGTTAAATTTTATTTATACTTGAGTTTTCTATTTAATGATAAACCCGAATAAGACAACCATGATTTCTTGTAAGGGTGACGACAGTCAGTAATGATAAGGGGCGCGTACTTGATTACAAATTCTTTTGAGGTGTCACAAATCCGGCAGTTCAAATTTAATAAAAATATTTTGTTGAAAGTGATAAAAATTAAGATCGAGAGCAAAAACTCGTTGACAAATAAATTCTGATTGATGAAATATTAAGCTTAAAAGTTTAACTAATACTTATAAAACCGGTCCTATTTACGATTAGTTACAAATTATAATCTGTTACGCAAAATCACAATTACAAGAATTAAATTTTTTTCACTGGCGATGTTTTAAAAACTAATGAATCTATTAATATACCGTATGCGAAATAGCTGATCTTGCCATCTTGCCGTCAGTAGTAAGACTGGTTGGACACGTACCTCCACTCTTTCCTATCCTGAGCTAAACTTCACATTTCCCTAAATCTAGAACAGCCCACATCGTTAACTATTTGCGAACAGTAATCTAATCTATTTTTTCCTAGTGTATACACTCTGAAATTTCTTATGCCTGGGTTTATTGTTTCGCAACCGCTATATAAAATATATAATGTAATGACTGTAATCGGTTTGTGGTCTGTGGCTTTTGATGTTTTATTTTTGTCAATAATTTAAAAATTAAGTACGACGGAAAATTACTTACTTGCGTTTGCATGAACTTTTCCTTCGCCTTTAACAGGGACTACTAGTATTCGTGCATCAACATCATAATCGGCAATTAGCATTAAAACTGGTATTTCTACAACGGCACTTATCGTTCTTTCTGGTACGTCAACTCTAAAAAACATTTACGTATCACAAGATTAATTACTAGCATCACACCCACTCATCACAATTCTCGGTATAATGAAATAATAAAAAAAAAATAATTAGCCTCGAACGCAACATTAGAAGTACATTTATTTAAAGGTTAATTCGACGTTTTTATTCTGAGTAATATGTATATTACCTACCAGTAAAAGCAATTACATTCAAAAGAAGAGAAGGAATAAGAAACTGGCCTTTACTCTGCTTTATAAGTTAAATTGTTTATAAAATTATTTATTATTATCAGCGCACGGTGACCAAACCCACCGCCACTATTTTCTCCTAAAAGATGAACAAGGCTCCCTAGAACCCCCTGGGGTGGATGGGGCCTTTTTAACTTTTATCAGATTATCAAGCATGGTACTCGAGCAAGTATACACAGTTCATACGTCGAGGTGCCAGTTCTTCTTCCCAGCGGCATGGCCTAGAGGTTTAGACCATTGCTTAGCATTCGGGAGGACGCCGGTTCGATTCCGGGTCCGTCTGCCTTGGTCCAAGATTTTCTGTGGTTTCCTTGGATCTGTTAGGCAAATACTGAGGCAGTAATATTCCACAGATAATCTTTCATTCTCTTCTGTCTTCATTTCGTCCGTCTCATCTTTCTCACCCGAACCTCCACCCACCTATTCCCACGAGGCCTTCCGCTCTACCTTCCGGCGTAGACCGGAGGGACTGCCCGCCCACCAGCACTACTAGCTGGCGGGAATGAAACACCCAAAAGTTTTTTTTTCCCAGCATGCGGGGTGTAACCAGTATCACTACGAGTGCAACTTCAGACGGCTGGGTAGGCAGGAAGATCTTCTACGTAGTGCCCCTGGGTATTCAGTCTCCATTACTGGTCGGATGTTTGACGGACGAATCCCCTTGCTGGTCGGGTTGATGCGATTGCCACCCTGATTTTTGACACTCATGTCAGCCAGGCTATCCTGGCGTAACAAGCGAGAGACTATTTTTTTAAACCTCGACTACATTTTTACGACTTTTTCTAATGATAGTACAAGTGGCGAGCTTTTTCAGAGGTCTTTCCATTCTTCTGTGGTGTCCATATCCAGCATCGGAGATGGAAGGATCTTTGAAACAGTTCGCCACTCGTGCCAGCGAAACTTTAGTAATCAATTCCTTCTGCGGTGTCTAAATCCAGCATCAGAGATGGAAAGAATTCTGAAGAAGTTCGCCACTAGCGAAACATTAGGAAGCAAATCCAACCGACGACGGTTTTAGACCCGAATCAGACAGCATCAGTTCTCCTATTGACCTAGAAAGCCGTCACCAATTTGTCCGGCCTTTTTATACATTTACAGGGGGGGGGTTTAAGGAGGCTAAAGAATACTCCCGTTATTACACTTGAATAAGTAGCATTGTTTTGAAATCCTTCTTATCTAGGCTTCTAATGTCGATGCCTTTACCCGGTTTTCGCAAAGTTCTCTTTTATTTACTAGCTAACATACTGGCTAAGTGGGTTCACAATAACGTAATAAAAAATGGTTACAAATCGAGTATTAAAAAGATTTTTTATCATTATATAGCCAATTTTTTCAACTTCCTTCCAGTTATAACCGGATAGTCTGTAGTATGTACCTGTGTTTTTGATTTGATTAGGTGTACAGTATCGCCAGAAAGTTTAGATACTCATACTTTATATAAATATTTATTGCCTGATTATAATCGATTGCAGTTTTAATGCAGAGGATTATTTGTACAATTTATGGGACATTAAAATGGTTTACACCCATTGTAGTATTGGAGTATAAATCCCTCATTAAAATGCATGGACTTGGAAAAAGTTACTTTTAGAATGCAAGGAAATAATTCTAAAAGTTATTTTGTCGATTATGAATTACATTTAGTCAGGTACAGCAATTTAAAAGTTTCGCTTTAGATATCAAAGATTATTCAACAATGGAAATAGTAAAGTTAAAACTATTCTTAACGTGCAGTCTTATTATTACGACTTATTGACGGTTTGTTTTTCTTTTATTGCAGAAAATGTATGCTGTCCAAAAAAATAAGGCAGGTGTAAATGTAGGTGCGATTTCCGAGTCTATTCGATTTTTTCATAAAAAGTGATGCCAGTTTTCATTTTTTCTAATTGCAGAACAAAATCAATTCTAGAGTAGGGTAACAAACCTTTTATCATAAAAACAATAGCATAGTAAAGGAGGGGGGTTGCAGATGAGCCAGGCCCATTCTAGAACCCTCCTTGCCCACCCTAGAATATCAATAATCCAAGTATAAATAAGATAAATGTACAATAATTTACATTAACAGCTACTAATGTTAGGTAGAGATGAAAATTTGACTACCCCTAGGGAAAGACCGTTGCTACGTGTATAATAAATACGACCATAAAACCCAGGGGGCGGCTCAAACTTTTACGCGCCATAACCTGACATACCCTGGGTTATGTTGTCAATTATTTGGTTTAGAAACAAATTATTACGTATAAAAATGTATTACTTACTTGAGTTTCTTTATTTGGAAGTCAGAGGCACCAAACACATCAATATTTGAAAGACCTGCTCTGAAATTATTACTGTTCTGGCCTCTTATTATGTCTATTTTTGGGATGTGGAAAGGTTCCAACGTTGGGACACCAAGTTCAGGTATTCCTGATTTCAAATGGGGACGCAAGACTTCTATGGATGCCCTAACGCACTTTCCAACTTCGGGATCATTTCTTTTACATAAATGGATATATTTGGCTGTAAATAAATAAAAATTTAGAACATTTAAACGATTATTATAGTGCAGTGTAGTGAATACATCTGGTGCCCTTGAAGACATAGAAGCGCAGACATGTTAACACACTTTAAAGTTACTAAATGGAAATGATAAAAAAAGGAAAAATGTATAGTTAATTCCGCTTGCAGTCTTGCAAGGTTAGCGACGATATTTACCTGTAAATATAGTTAATTGTACCGACATTATTTCTCAATATTCTTTATAGATAATTGCAGTCGTAATTAATTTCTGTAGATTATAATATTCTTTGAAGAAAATTGCGGGAAATGGTGATTTCAACATTTCCTTTTACTGCATACTGTAGTTTATATAAAAATTGAATAAATGTAGGAATACATCGAGAAAACCACTTTGAAAGNTGAGCACCATGTGCACCACTTCAGATCTTGTTTACCGTTCTTTTTTTTTTTTAATTGATGCCTCTTCTTCTCGAGCTCTTTTTCCGCTAGCAGACAAACTTTGCTTTACTTGAAATTGTACCAAATTAGGTTTGCAAGTGTCTACTGTAATATTAGTTAACGGAGTTCTTTTTCTTGAGAATGTTGAATTTGAAAGTGCAATGCTCAACATTCTGTTTGTCTGCGTCTCTTTTTGTTACATATTAATTGGTGCAGTGTTATTCCTTTTTCTTTATTAGTGCTCGCTGCAATTCTCATCTGACATCTCTGTTCTATGTCAGCAACCACTCTAGTCTAGTTAGTAGGTTTAAAGAAGAAAATAAATGCGACAGTTTTATTGCAGCCTATGCCAATTCTGAACGTACCAACTGTAGCTACATCCCTGTAATTGTTCGATGTGTTCCCTATGCTATTATCGGTTCTACTGAGAGACATAAATACTATAAATTTTATACTATACATTAATAACATTATCTGATAACGCGGAGTGCGAAATATTCAGTGGTTACTTAAACTTCTACCCGACACTGGTTTCCCCTCACCCCCCCCCCACCCGCCTCCCTTAAAACTTAACAAATCTTGTTGCGGTTATTTTGAATCAGTGCCTCCTTGACGAGATATTCAGATGCGTAATTTAAAATGGAACAGTCTGTATAATTATTTGTAGATAAAAATAAGTCTGTATATATATAAATACAGAATACAATGTTCCATAAATATTGACATAGGAGAATACTTTATAAGGACCTTATAGCAAGTTAAAAATATTATAAAAAATGAGTCTCGGTTTATTTTGTATTATTGTACTTCAAATGTGTGAACAGTGCAAATGTCGGATGTTTCGACTTCCCTGTTTTGTAATAACGCACAATTTATGTAGATGATATTATGTAAAATGTTTTTCCAGAAATTGACGATTAATGTGTTTAAATTAGAAGAAGGTTATTAATTCTATTTGTGCTTACGATAATAAGATGTCTACTATACATATCAAAAAAATTGTTTAGATAATTTTTCTTGACCTTTTTGCATGCGTGGATAAAACTTAGATTGTATAAATCGTAACTTTATTCAAAATTGTGACCTTTTTCTCCATGAATCGCAGATCACAGACGTGATCTCCGATTTTAATCCTAGAACTTATACGTAACATATAGAGCTGTTACATAATATATTTAGTAATGTTTCTTTTTTAGCAAGTTACTTTCGGATATGTAGGCATGATCCAAACATCGCAGGATGTATCGAGAATTTCCTAATAACTTTAAAACCAAAGTTAAAAGAGGGAATTCCGGAGTTACACGTCCCACCAATGGAACCATTGGATTTAGGAGAAATAAATTTACAAACTACTGACAATCATGGAATGTTAAATTTTACGAATCTGAAAGTTTGGGGATGTAGCGACTACACCATTAAAAATGTGATGTAAGAATAACATTTCAAACACAAATAAGTTGCTACATAGTATTTCAGTCACATATCAGATCATTTTTATTTTATACCATTTAATATTTAAGGAATGAAAACAACTGACACGATTTTAAAAATGTTATGAACTTTTGAAATCTGCTTTTGCAAATTGTCATTCAAGTTCAATTGAATTTGTTAAAGGAACAATTTTTTGAAACCCATTTTTGCATTTCAGGGTTGACTTGAGCAGACATATATTCAAGTATAATCTAAAACTTCCACGTTTATATTTCGAGGGAAATTATGATATGGATATGCGACTGCTTGCCTTTGAATTGAAAGATAGTGGTTTCATGAAAGGCAATTTAAGTAAGTTTACAATTATTTTGTATCCTATATTCCTTCAGAAATCCGAGATAGGATTTCAATATGTGAACAACTCCACGTATATCATATTCTCTATTTCCATACAATATGTATATATATCGACGTGTAGATCAAAAATCTAAAAACTTTTTGAGATATGATCCCTCAAAGCCGCATTTTTCCGTAAGGACTTCCAAGATACAATTATACCTATTATACGTATTGAATAGGTTCAATCATATTTGTATATCAAATATTAATCTGAAAATTTATTTTCCATTAATACCAACTAATAAGTAATGTTAATGAGGAAAATTTGTTGCTGTTGATACTGCCTCGCCGGAAATCGAACCCGGTACCTTTGGCTTTACTGACCAATGCTCTAACTACTAATTTATAGGTAGGTAATTTATAGTTGGTATAAATGGAAAATAATTTTGGTCGTGACATTTTTGTTATAACGCTTTAAAAAGGCCTTTCTTATTAAAACTCTTATTAATTAAATGGAATCGATTTTTACTTGTTGATAGCCATGATTTATAGCAAAATTAAAACAAACTACATGTTACAAAGTCTTATTATTTAAATCAAAAAGGATCATTTAAAAATAACAGCACCCTTTAAAATTTTCTGTATATTGAAACGTTAAGTACGAAACTACCCCATTTTGAATGACACGCTACAATGAAGAATTTTCTGGACTTTTTAAAAAGAATTGATTTTTTTTAAATAATTCCCTATTAGGGTAACTTACGTATTGGTCCAGCATTAACGATAACATTCAAATACACACATGCAAACGCAATAGTACCAACAAGCTTCATGGTTACCAGCTAACAACAGCAATAACAACAACAACAGCAATTATAATGGCAAACAGTAAATAATGATTTTAATTCAATCGGGGGGCTTTTATATACAAATGTAGACAATTAAAAGACGAATGGCAAACGAAGCTGATCCGAAGTAGGTGATGGTTACATATTTGTTAAATATAGTCAATTACCTTGAACTTGGGAACAAAAATAATTTTTTCTTATCTTCTTGAAACTATTCAATCGTACTTAGATAATGTCTAGAAACAAGATTATCGTCGCTGATTCACCATGGGAGTGCAAAAAATCGGCGAATACAATCAACAAACAACGTTTTATTCCACTATCTGAAAAGGTGCGTACCTGGGAATTTTGAATGGTCAACCGAAACTTGTAAAAAGTAGAAAATTTTTTAGGTCCAAAATTAATTAGCAAAAAAATATCTCACATACGTAATTTACATATGTATGTGTGTAAAAGGTAATAAAACCTGTTTGGCAAACTAATACAAAGCAAGGGTTCTCAAATCAACTTGAAACATTCAACTATAGTTGGAACGTTCAAAATTGTCATAGCCCGCAATAAAACTGTCGCATATAACTAAACTAGAGCGGTTGCTTTGAGAACACCTACTTTTACTCACGACAGATGTTATAGGGAGTGTCTCAGATATAGAAAAGAGATGTCAAGTAGGAATTGCAGCGGGCACTATAAAGAAAGAGAAGCACCATCACACCTGTTAATGTGTAACAGAAAGAGATGCAAACATACAGAATTTGAGTATGTTGCCAGCATCAGAATATAAAGAAAGTTCAACATTGTTTAAAGATGTATTTCCAATCAGACAGTTACAAAACCGACTCTGATTTTTTACGTATTTAAGAACCGCTTACTATTATTCGGTTATCTCTTTTCACTTTATCTGTACTACTCATGAAGCATTTCCTAACTTAACAAGGGCTTTTTCTTAACGCAGCAAATAACTACAGTCCCAAGTGGAAAGAAGAAAGAAAATACAGTGGAATTCGTTTATTATGACTCCGCCTATATTGACCAACCGCTTAATATGAAGTAATTGCAGTGTTAAGTTTGGTTTTCATATTAAATTCTCTATAGGAAATTTTGGATATAATGACTCCGTTTAAAATGACATATCGCTTCTCAAGATCTCAATCATATCCGACTATAGCAATAACATTTTCGCTCATTTTTCTGACCCTTCTTATACGAGGGTGGATTGATAAGTTTCCGGCCTAACCAAGAGATGACGCCACTAGGCCTACCTTGAGGTGACATTCTATAGTACCATCCTTGGATAGCTTGTAGCTATAGTTTCAGCCCGATCTCCTTGCTAG